CTGAGAACCAACTAAAAATCTTAAAACAAAGTAATAAGGATGCATTTAGAAGACCTAATGTAGGAAGCTAAAGAAAGCTATCTTTACACTTGTTATATGCCCTTGGATTAAAATCAAGGCAGTAAAATCATCCTTTTCTGGAAATAGACAGGTTGAGCTTCCAAAAATTGTCTGAAACAAGATGCTGAGGAAGAGAGGCCTTCCAAGGCAGAGAAAATAGGTGCTTGGGTTTTAAAGAACTTCCCTCCAGGTTCCCTACACAGTAAATGAAAAGAGACATGGAATCCGCAATGCAAGTAGAGGAGGTGAATCCAGAAAACCAGTGTGTACTAATAACCTTTGGCGTAAATGAGACTATTGCAAGTGCTAAATTATAAATGCATTTTCTGAAAACCATAGGAAGGGATCCATAGGGGGAAAAACGATTGAATTCTAGAAATCAATAATGAAAGGGCTCAAGATAAAATTGTAAGCCAATATACTTACAAACAGAAAATTATTATGTAATAAAATGTCAGAAGTAAGTTTATTTTAAGGATAAAACATTCACTTTGAGACGGAGTTCTGGAAGTGCTCACAAGTGTTTCGTACAGAGAATGGAAGAATTCTAGGGGAGATAAGATTCTGGCAGGGGCTGGGGATTTAGCTCAGCGGCAAAAGCGCCTGCCTGGCAAGCGCAAGGTCGTGAGTTCAGTTCCCAGTACCAGAGGGGGAAAAAAAAAGATTCTGGCAAACAACAATTTCAGGAGCCCTTTAATTGTGTTTGTTAATCTGGTATGATCCCATTGTTTCTGTGCTAATTGCTTATGTACTGATTGTGATTCCTTTATTTTAATTTGTTGATGAGACTCCTAAGCACACGAATATGGGGTCCATTTAGGACAGGCAGAGGTGGTCTCCTGGAAATGCAACTCTTACGCTTGCAGTGGCAGACAGGCGGCTGGTGAGTAAATCACACCTGCAGATGTTTTCTGAGGTGATTTAAAAATCAGGAAATATAACACAAAATTCCAGGTTTCTTTCTAAAATTTGAGACCTTGCCATGCAAGGCACTCAGTGTGCTTCAAGGGAACCATTGGCTGGAAATGAGTAGCCATTGCACCCTGGAGCCCTAACCCTAACCCCAACTGTAGCCCTAACCCTGTGGAGCAATCGTGTTACCTCTTTCTCATCACTTGTAGTTATCAAATCAAAGGCTTTTGCTCATACTTGTCTCCTATAGCTACTGATTTTGTGACTGCTGTCCTACCTAACCAATAGCCGTCATTAAAATTACTCCACAGAGGTGTCACCACCCCTTCATCTTTTAAATTCCTGTTCGCATTTGTGGACTTTGGTTCCACCATAGTTGGTGGTTTTATTTGACTCCCATTTACATGTTCTCTATTTCTGCCTCAGACCATGTCTCCAACTCAGCCTTGAACACAGCCCCGTATTTTGGTATTTTGCCTGTGCTTTCTTGGGACATATCCTACCCACTCCAATTTGGGGTTTGGCTTCCTTCTTTCTTCTGGGGCTAGAAACTCACTCTACAGGTTGAGGTCCCTGATACTGTCTGAGGCTCATCTAAGTAACTGATCATGACAGGCACCTTACTCTTAACGTGCCTGTGGTAGATTGGCTGCATGAACAGCTTCTAGTTTCCATGCCTGTCCTCCTTTGGTAGTGAGTATCTTTCCACAGTGACTCTGAACTTGACCTTATATCTTACTTGGGACAATGGGACCTGTACAAGTGGACTCAAACTGGGGTTTTAAATTACTCTTGTGGATTTCCACTTTATTACCTCTGATTATCTTGAAATCATTCTCAAGCTAGGCTGAGAGCATACCTGGGCTTGCTTGCTGAAGGAATCTGAAAGACAATGTACACATGAAAGACATAAAAGGAGAACTTAACTGCTACTTTTAAGGCCCTTTTGAATCCACCTGTGATCACTAGACCCTGGTTAAAGAATCCAGCTGAGATCATCTCTCAGCCACCCAATGCAACTGACTTCTTAAGTGAAGCTAGAGGAGACCAGTATTGTCATAGTGACCCACAGAATACTGGACAATGATAAATGCTTAATAAATAAAAATAATATATTTAATCAATACCTATTGCTTTAGGCCAACGAGTTTTGCAGTAGGTGTGTTACACAGATCTGGCTAATGGATGCAGTTTTCTATCACTGAGAGTTTGGCTGTAGGCATAATACATCTTTCTCATGAAAAATGGGTCCATGGGAAGAGCTTGAGTAGTTACTCACTTAACACTGTGTCAAGAAAATATTCTTACTGTATTTTGAAGTTGCCCAGAAGAAAATAATTGAAGGGTTGCTTTGGGGTAGTTGTTTTGATTTGGAAGAGTGTAAATACGTCTCATCTAAAAATTGAACATGTTCTGGGGACATTCAAGCCCAATGTTTGTGTTGTAAGTGGCGTTCCAAACCCATGTCCACATAGGTAAGGAGATCTTGGGCTGGCAGGCAGAAGATATTTCCAACCAGCCACTGCATTTACCGTTACTTTGAGGTCTCTCTGCAGAAATGTGAGTGGAAATGAGGGCATTAGGGGACCTCAGAAGGTTTGGCAGTGCATTTTAGACACTTATCTGAGCCACACAAGTTAGAAATCTGGGATGGAAATCTCCTAAGAATAGCCATTCTCATGAAATTTCCAATCCCGCTTGTTTTTGGCAGAACTTAAAATTCCGTGGAAATGGCTCATGTCGCAAGACTTCTGTGTGATGCTGGCCAGCACCAGGAAGGAGAGGGGCCCAGGAAAGGAAAAGCGAACCAATGTGGCTGCATGTTTTCACGCCTTTGAAAAGGTTTGGGTTTGGCTCAAACCAAGAAAGAGCACTTGGGGTTTTTGTTTTGTGCCAGCTTTTTCAAATACCATTCACCTGACTCATGAAGCTTTGAACATCAGGAGGAAACAGGGAAGGAATAAATCTTGACTATTCTTGATGTTCAGACATACTCTGAACAGGACTCCTGGCTGGGAGAAAGAACAGAATACAGCTGGAGTGAGGAGGGCTCCTGCTCCCCTTTCTGGGGGTCAGAGGGGCTGCATGGCTTGTTTATCATCATTCATTATGTCCTAGTACTCTAGGCGACACCCAGGTGCGCCAGACTTGGTTTCTCTCTTAGATAACTCACACTGTTGCCTAGGGAAGACAAACCAGGACCACATTTTCCTACTTTTTCCAAAATTCTACTGGAATTCTAGAGTGTAGCAAACGCCTATTTATATATCTTTTTCAGAATAGTGTCATTTCACTCCTCTCGTTATGGTATAGGATGATCCTACTGCCTGGAATGTCCTGATACCTGTTGTCTGCTGAGCTCTCCCCAAACCCAGCTCAGATATCAACCTTAATGTTACCAAACATAATTAATGACCACCTCACCTTTGCTACCTCTTTACTTTGTGGGTGTTTATATGATTGCATGCAAAATACAAAACTATGTTCTTAGGGCCTAGGACACTGTAAACATTTGATCAATGGGAAAGGATTACACAATACAATACTATAAAAACTTCTCCCTTTCTGTGTCACCTAAGCCCTCAGTCAACATTAGGGATTATTCCAATCTCTTCAACCCATACTATTCAGTCATTTGCGGTTCCCAGAGTGACTTTTCCTGGCAGCTTCTACACATCCCCTCTCGTCCACGGGATACTTTCTACTTTCAAATAGAAAAGATTATGGGTTAGTATTTTTTCACCAACTGGTTTGATTCTAAACTGCTAATTTAAAGGGATCTTAACTTCTGTATCCTAGTACCATGTACAGCACTGAGCTACTGGATGGCTGATATTATAGTCATATTTGAAATGGAAATGCAGAGACCCTCTCCCATGAAGTTTTAACGGGATGAGGATAATCTGATTTGTTTTATCTTTCAGGTTGCTGGTGGCCGAACACTTCACCAGATTAAAGCATGAATGGCACTAATGAGGCCAAGGTCAAGAGTTCAAATCTCTGTCTGGCCCAATTAATGTGATGATCTTTCACATTCCCTTTCCACCCCCTTCCCGCTCAGCCAAGTCTTCTACAAATTAGTCCACTTGCGAAAAAAGGTGTCCAAAAAAAGAAAAGAGAGCCCAGAAATAACTTGGTGAAAGACCATTCCCATTTCTAGAAAACACGTAGCCTATGTGCCATTGCTGTGTATTTGTGTGCATGTGTGTGCCTGCACACAAGAGGGTCGTTTTTGTCTGTGCACAAAGAGAAGTGTCTGTCTACTTATCTGTCTACCTATCTCTTGTATAATTTGAAAAGCATGCATTGTTTCAGCCAGATGGAAGGATTATGTTACTTGAACACTGGTATTTAATGTATATTATCGCATTTATTACCATATCAAAACCAGATGTTTAAAATTTGGGCTCGAAATTCCATAATGCAGATTGTATTACCTCAGGGTCACCTTACCACCTAATGCTCTCTGCTCAGCTGTATTTTGTTACAGCTTTAATAGAGCAATAATGTGTTTCCACAAGTCTTAGTCTGGTATTAGATGACATGTGGACTAATTTTGGTGGGCTGAGCAGACTGGTAGGGGGTTATACAAACCAGAACAATTTGCTTTCTCAACGGTAAGAAAATATGTTAAGAATTATTGAGAATAGTCAAGGCATCTCTCTCTCTCTGTCCCTCCCTGTCTCTCTCCTTTTGCTCTTTTGTTCTTTTACTTCTCTCTTCTCTTTTGTTCTTTATCTTTCACTACTTTACTTAAAGTTTGTTGTCATTTTCACTGTCTCCCATGTCCCTCAACATTCTTCCAGAAACAAAATCTCCTTTAATTACTTTCTTATCTCCGCAAAAGCTACTTGAAACCTTCCTCTTATTTGCCTTTTTACATTGCTTCTGTACTGATAAAATTAAAACAAGCAAGTTCAGAAAATTGATAACATTCCCTTTTAAAAAATTATAATCAATGCAATTTAGATAAGGTGAAAGAAAGAAGTAAAAGCCCGAGTGGCTCTTGGCCAGCGATTCATCCGTTTACATTAATAGGTTCCAGCAATGGGGCTATAGACACAGAATGTCTGTTTGCCACTGCACTTAGCAAGCACATGAGCTTAAAAATAAACTTTGACAATGTAGATCTCTGTCCTTCCAGGAATGGAAAGCATTATGTACTTCAAAGCACACTAAGCCTGATTTGAAAATATAGTTGGGTTTTGTTACTGTGGCTATTGGGAGGGTCCTCAGCCTGCACGGAGTACATGGACGCTTCGTGTGTGAACAGTGCTCGAGCCGCAAACTGGTGAAAGCGAATGCCCCTGGCAGCTTTGATACGCTCATTCTCAAGGAGGAAACTTCTGTCTGTGAAGTTCTCTGGAACAACTCAGATATGATTCTTCACTAGAATCAGGGAATTTCTTCCTGAATCAAACTGCAAAAACAGGATTTGAGTAGCACATTTCACTTGCAAACAGCAGCGTTTGTTCATTTTGAGTGTTTTTGGACAGGAAATCAATCTACAGGGTAACATTCACAGAAAAAAGGAAACAGTATGGGACGATGGCTTGTTAGTCCAAGTGACTCTGTTTTGGAAATTACGGGCAAGAAACCTTGGAGGAAGAACGGCATTAAAGACCAAAAGCACGATGACTCCTGATGAAAACATCACCAAATGATGAACCCACGAGCAAAAAGGAATTTCTACTGTAAGTATCTTTGCAATCATCAACTATCTTATTTGTTTTCAAAATTTCTACAGTGTGCTGAGTAGATTCCCCAGCAAGTATTTGATGTAGAGAGTCTTCATTATAGACAAGTCTATAATTAAACTCTTTGGGTGGTTCCAACAGAGGGTTAGTTACTAGAATTTTTTCCATGACCTTGCAATACTGAAATAAATTGCATGTTAATTTGGGAGTTTTTTATGCGATAGCCATGCTACATCAGGCTTTTACTGTGTGATGTATTACTTCTGGCAATGCAAAAGTGATCAGCATGTGTATCTATAAATTCCACTGCATTGGGATTCTGCTAATGTAAATGACATCCGCTTTGGTTTCATGTGGGGTTGGTCCTATAATCAAGATGGTTATATATAGGTTTACACATATTATTTGTAATATAGAGTATTAGCTATTTCCTGAAGGAGTCTTATTTGAATGAGTGCGAAGAGGTGGCTTAGAATCTTGGAAATGGGAAAAGAGAAAGTATGGTAGGTTACACTCAATTCTGGGAACTAACACCTTGGTTCTTTCAACATTTTCATAGTTTATTTGATAGGACGTCTTCTTTGGAAATTATTTAATATCTCTATGTAAGATGTCTCAGATCATAGAAATGTTGTCGTCTTAGAAGTATGAATCAAGCTCATCAAAAATATAACCCTATGTAAATTTTAAATACAGTAGATTAATTTTTTAGTGTCTGGCGTGTTATACATACCTAGCAGATTTTTTTTTTTTAATTCTGAGTAAGATCTGCTGTTGAGTATTAAGACAAATACCAGACTGTACAATAACCATTTTATATCAGAATTTCAGTTTTTGAATTTCTCCATGAAAGTGACTGAATCATGTTTAACAAGGAATTCTATAACAATGAGGTCACATTGTTTTGCATTTTTCAATAAGGGATTTCTTTTTTTTTTTTTTTTTTTTTTGTTTTTCTCTGGTACCGGGAACCGAACTCACGACCTTGCGCTTCCCAGGCAAGCGCTTTTGCCGCTGAGCTAAATCCCCAGCCCCCTCAATAAGGGATTTCTTTAAAAATCAAAATCTTGTTGAATTGCTATTTTTGGTGGTTTTCCTTCTGAAACACAAAAGAGTTTGCTCAACTTATTGTTCATTTGAAAGACTATCACAAAGTTTTCGGAGGTATTCAGCATATAAACTAGTATCAGCTTATCTTCTATTAGTATGTAAGGCGTTGCTCTTGGTTTGTGGCCGTGGAGCTCGTCATTAACACTTGGGGAGTCACTTTGCCGAGGCTTGATGGGAAGGCCAAGGCAATCCTACATAAGGGAGATCATCTTTCAGATGTCTGGGCATGAAAATAAAAGGAGACGTGAGTGAATGAAAAGGCTCTGGAAGCCAAACTGTCTCCAGACGGACAAAGGAAAGGAATTGAGTGGGCAAGGGCTGGACAGGTGAGGGAAACTCTTCCTGGATGCTATCTCCATTTTTGCGATGGAAGATAATGGGGTTCTTATATTTGAATTCTTTTCTAGACTACGGTGTATAGACTTTTTTTTACAATGAACTCAGGTTCTTCTGCCACCACAAGTAGGAAACAAGAATGTTGTGCACATGATTTTACTGCACCTAATTAGAAGTGTTGGTGGGTTCTTTGGGTAGGAGCTAACAGAAGCTGTATCTAAGCAACGATTATCAACTAAGTGAAATGTGTTTGGATAATTACATACATCTTTTTGATAAACTTAATTATATCATATATAACATCACATATAAAAATGGGTAAGCAAATTATCCCTTTAGCAGTTGAGTTCAGTCTCCCACTTAGCAGTGCATTTTATAGGTAGTGTTTTTCAGGAATATCTATCAGAATGTAGTTCTAATTAGAATAAGATAGTCTAAAGGATTCACTTGGAAATTCATTTAAGAATTAGGAGATTTATGGATATCATCTACATGGATACTTTTCTGAGCTAAAATTATCTGGGCTTATTTTGCAGAATTCTGGGAGTTCAATCAAGAAATTATGCAATATTTGAGGAGTTCTCAGGCTTTTAAATTTTTTTTTTAAGGAAAGAGAAGGCATTTGATTATTGTATGAAAGTCAAGTAAGTAATATGTGGTAGAAGGACTATAATTTTGAGCATTATCTTCAAAAAAAAAAAAAATGGTTTAGACCCCAGAGCCTGACAGCACAAGATGTAGTTCTTATTGATAAGTGACCGTTTGAATTTTAATGGCATATTATAATTTTTGTAGTTATTTATTTGACATCCAAAGACCTATATCCAGAACTGCTCAAAGATGTGCTACAGCAGGAGGGGTGTGCTTCCCAGCCCTGGGGGCAGCCTGTTGATGAGAAAGCTCAGCAAGAAGGGAAAAATCAATGTTCTCAGTTAGACAACTGTGTGCTGGAATTCTAGAACTGCCACTTACCAACCGTGTGAACTTGGGCAACCTATCTAAATGCTAAGCCTTTGGTTTGCCATCTGTAAAACGAATGAATGAGTCTTCCTTCTTTGGATTGTTACAAAGATTAAATGAGATAATTTATGTCAACTGCCTGGCATATAGTAAGTGTATGATAACCTGATTAAGCTTCCTAGGCTTTAGGGAATCTGTCTAACTTTGAGGTTCTAATAATTTTGGCTATTTAACCTAAGTCCCTTGATATATCTATTGTCCATTTATTGGCTTCTAAGAGAAGAAAATTGTAAATCCAAGTTGCAAGTGCATTGAAAGAATGAGTGAAGGCCACTAGAATGCATGAACTGAAAATGATAAAAATATTTTCATTTGTTTATTTGTTTTAGATGGTTTACCTGTGCTAGGTGGTAAAAACCCATTTGACTGGCCATTCAACAGTGCTTGCTAATTAACTTCCCTGTTCATGTTTTATATATAACCTGTGTCTAATCATCATAGGAAATCTACTGTCGCCAGCAAAGTAATTCTCAGTAGAAGTGATATTTTTGAAAGTTGAATGTTTAAAATAATGTTCAGTTTCAAAATGCACGATGGCAGCAAAGATAAAAAGATTTTATGGGAATAGTTTATCTTGATGATTTAATTTATTATGTCCATTTTTTCCAAGCACACATACAAAGTACTCAGGTCGAGTCACCATTCTTACACTACCGCTTAGGCTGTCTCAGGCAATGTTTGTGAATCACAGATACAAAATAATCTAATTGCTAGATTTGCTCTCTGGAAAATCACTATTATTTGGAAACATGACCGCAGTGACTATTTAAAAATATCTTACATCTACTTAGTGCCATTTTCTCTTCAAGCATTTCTATGTGTGTTATTTCATTTTTTCACCCTTTATACAGAAAAGGAAGCTATATTCGCTTTGTTTTCTGCATGATGAGAATACTAAACCCAGAAAATGAGCAGAATTGTCTACTGAGACATTTGGGTATGAAGAAATGAAACTTGGGATGTAGTAGAATTCATTTAATGATTTTATGATCATCTCTGATTTTGACTGAGAAATAACATGATTCATCTGGTTCTCTCTTGCATGAATAGGAGTCTTAAACTTGGGCACTAATTACCACTTCCTTGAATTACATATCCATAGAGGCCCAACCAACCAGACACAAAAGAGATATAATATGACCAGGGCTGGCCTCAGTGAGGTGTAGGGAAAACCTGAGTGTCTGGAATTCATTGTCTTCTGTGCTGACATTCTATCCCAGACACTTCAAGGGAGTGAAGAGGCTCATATTTATTCATTTAGGTGTCTTATTTTACAATGTAGTTAAGGCCACAGATGTGCTCTTGGCTATCTTCCCTGGCTGCTGATATGACATGCATTTGAACAACTGCACTGAGTGTGTGTGTGTGTGTGTGTGTGTGTGCATGTGTGTGTGTCAAATTAACAGGACAACATCAGCTAAAATTCAGCTCCATAGCTGCTCAAAAGCTGACAAAATACCTCTTACCAGACCTCAAGTTTCATGGCCTGGTTATACCTGATGATTTCAGTGTAGTAATAAGTTGTATTCCTAAGCACAGCTGAAAGCTTTAACCTGCAGGAACTACAGTTATAGGTGCAAGGGAAAAATTGAGAACTCTGGAGCAGTGGAGACACCATATCTCACAGAAGTTAACCACTGGGTGATTCAGACATAAAAGAGGGTGATTTTTTCTTATCAATAGCTTTGTATGTTCAACACGCTTTTAGCTCAGTTCCTGATTTTTTTTCCGTTTAGATGTCTAACATTACATCTTCTGCAAAAAATGCTTTTGGTTGGTGACACTTCATGAAAATGTAGCTTAAAGAGGAAATCATGGAGTGGAGGGATCAGGTGGTCTTATATGTTATGGAATGGGTCCTAGCTCAGGAGTGTACTGTAGCCTGTTCTGTCCTTGCGATTCCGTCTTCTGTGAGACACACCCTTGGGTTGGATGAGGTGTAGCTATGTGATTCTGAGGCACAAAGCGTTTGGCTCCCATTAGGCTGTTTGTGTTCCCCTAAAGCCCAAGTGAACACTTCAGGGTGAACCCAACAGTGAAATGTAAAAGCAACCAGTATCTGCCCATACCTGGACTTTCCATCTGGAGTAGTGCAAAGCCTAAAAGAGAGTGATTTTTCCTTCATTTTTAAAGATTTATTTTATTTTTGAGAATGGTACAAGTTCCCATTCCTCCTGGGCAAGAAAAATTCTCTAAGCTTTTTATACCTGTTATTAGTACATATTTGTAGTACATAATGTTTACATTCCTTGTGGGGAATCAGTACACACCCACGACACATCTAAACTAACTCTATTCATCCCCTTTCCCTTGCTTCCCCTTTTCCCTCCATCCATCTCAATTCAGCTTCCTTTCTTTGGACAGGTTTACAATAAATAAGGATTACATTCCTTTTGTGGGGTTGGCCCATGTACACAATACATCAGAGTGAGGCAGATTTTTGTTTTTATTTTGTGTATGTATGCAACATAGATTAAATTCTTAAAATGTTTGCATCACGGAAGATTGTGTGTGTGGTTCTGTGAATCAAA